GACAGATATAAATAACCCAAAACCACCTGTAAACACTGGACTAACGTTTCGACGATTGGCAAAGACCGCCCCTCAGTACCAATATATCTGATTCAAACCGGTCACACCAATAAACCCAGGTGTTTCTTGCCAAGGAAGGCAAACCTACAACGATGTAATTATTGGACACTCGTTTCAAAACCGGAGAAGTTCCTAGTAAATGTCTACTACCTGTATATCATACGCTTTTCGCTGTTTGACAGGTGACCTGTCCAATAAGTAGCGAGGGAAAAGAGCGCAATGCAAATGCTTGACATTTATCATGTAGTGTAGTGTGTAGTACACAAAGAACAAATTTTTAAAAGCTAGGTCAAGACCAATGTGGATTTATATCGAGAGAACAGTGAGTATTGATGGAATGTATCCCAAATGAGGCATTCCGAGATCTTTCGGCAAATGTGTACAGATCTGTTCACTCAATGGGTAGTTATTTTGCAAGTGAGGTTCTTGCCAGCTGGTTAATAGTAGCATAATGCAATGGGGCTTGAAATGTGCATGTGACGAGAAGAAATAAACTCATAAATCTTATTTATCTCATTTCAACGGACTTAAGATGCATGCTCCGATGTCTACATTTATTTTACTACCCTTAATACGGTTCGTTCGCTACACTGGAAAATTAAGATACTAACGAAAAGTGATTGGTGAGTATCTAAGGGTTGCCTCGTGAGTGACGTGGCTTGATCAGCAGTGCTACGTTGACAGTACAAATCCCGGAGCTCGTGTTGCTTTATAGAAATTCTGAAAGAGTGAATTCTACTAGAAACCTGTCTACTTCGCCAAGGTAAGCACTGTTGTGGTTGTCAGAGAATTTGTGTACACGCCGTTTAAACAATCCAGCACAAAGTTTACGGAGAATCAACCCTCTGTGACGATAAAACTGGCCTATCGCATGAGCACGTTGGAGAGCCAAAATTAGCTGCTACCTGATTCCGTTGCTCAAATTCACGTCTTTTATTGAAGAGACGAGCAGATAGCTGTTTTTTGCTCACTAAATCTTGTGTCCTGAATTCGACTGTGAGTCTTGAGGAGACGCTTGTACACCGGTCATTTTGTTTATATCCAAGTGTTGTACTGTAGGGCTTTCCCTACTTGAATACTGGGGGAATTTCGTTGTCTCAAGAATAATTGCACCATAAACTTACTGCCTTCAAATCGCTATGCGGTTGATTTCTAATAGCGAGGTAATGTTACCCTCACAAACTGATATGGACCGCCAAAACCGTTCCTTCTTTGGTTAGTGACAACGTAGAGATCTTATAATATATAGATATTATAAAAGATAGGTTAATCAAAAATGAACAAATGAATAAATCAACGTATGTTCAGAATCCTTACCGAGAAGCGGTACTTTCCGCTGGGAGGCCTATCAACAAATCAATCAACGGCTCTCGTTAAAAAGAGTCTGAATCAAATCCGCCATCCACACACGTTTACTTTACCACGTAATTCCGAGTTGGACGGCAAGAACATATTTTGCGTTCCAACGCCGTTGGACAGATAAACTGAAATCAGGTGCATCGGTGCCGAATCCAACAATGAAGACAAATCGATCCACTAGAAAACAAGACACAGGTTATTTGCGGTCAAAAATTTTGAGCTACGAGGTCGGGACGCTGGGTCTTCAAAATCAGGATTTCACAATCCAGGTGAAGGCAGTTTGTTCAGCAAGTCTGAGAAGCCATGTAGCATTTTCGTCCCTGATTGCAATTATCATTAGTGCCCATGTTACGAAACTCTAAGAGGATGTTTATCCGCGTTCATCCGGTTAGCAGCTCAATATCACCATCCGGACGATCAGCACTATTCATCTTTCAGGAACGCAGCCCGTACCACGTGATGTGGTGATGCCTGACCGCTGGCTCGAATCTCCCACCTAGTTTCTTGTAAGTTCGATTAGCCACTGTGGCGGAATTTCAGAATATTCGGACACCTTTAGGAGAAGCAGCGGTTTCAAATCATTCAATAATTAGTTAGTTAGGATTTCAGAAAAGGCTGCAATAACTGTACACTGCTTTTCACCACGAGGTGAAATCCCAACCTGATACGCGCGGATAGCTCGATCCTTTATTCGGAGTACGTGTCAATTTTCACGATATACTCTCCAACTAATAAGTCGTGAAATCTTGATTCAGCTAGTTGTTAGGTATGAAACGTGTGGCTAATTTCCGAAAATTCCAGCAAACAATATCTGAAAGGATGAGTGCTAATGAAGGTTGAACTTTTCGGAATGTTTGCGCTTTTCTCTAATGACCATGCAGGTAGCTATTTTGAATACCAGTGATTAGCTGACACAACCTGATTATCAGGCGAGTGTGTAAAAAATGGCAAGGGCTAGTAGTTAGTGTGATTATTCAGAACCGTGAATTACTTGGTTTCAACCTTCTTCAGTAGCTAGGTCTGAATCTGGAGATAAGGTGTGTTCCGTTTCAAGTGTATCTTGAGCAACAGATCCTCTACGAGTATCATCAGAGCTTGGGAATAAATACCAGGCCGCTTACACGTGGTCACATCTCCCATTGATAAAATGAGTCACCTCAGGCAAAACATCACTCCATGCACGCAGCTGTGGTTAGTGATGCTTAACAGTTTAAGACTGAGGCACTGCATAGCTATTGCTTGTCCACCTATCTGAGGAGTCCGAAGCAGGATGAAACTCACAGTGGACAAACAGCTTTCCGCCTCAACTGTGACTGAATCTCCTGATAGGCCATCAGTTGTCGTATCAGAAGGGAGACAAGCGTCTAGAAAATTTCAGTTGGATTTACCGTAAAAAAACGATTCTCCAGATGGACAAATGCGTCTTCCGTAGTGCTCAGCAAGGTGAAGAAACGGTGAGTCTAATTATTGAGACCAGAATGCCCTAACCATAAAACACGTGAATAAGCAAGAAGCTATGTCCACTTCTATATGAAGACTTTTTGTCCACATTAGAATTGTTTTAGTGTTTTATAGCCACGACGCAGTTAAGTTTAATCGACATAACTGAGTGAATCCAACTATGGCGAGCCGATAACGATGTGGGTGTGTATTTCGACTAATCAATGTCTAGACATCGTGGCAAAAGCGAATTTACACGCCTGGAAAGAAGTGGAGCGCTTGAAGACACAACCTGGAGACAGACACCTGTACACGTTATAGTGCGCACCGTGAAGAAAGTCTGAAGCCATGCGAGGTATGTGAAATCAAAAATGGACATAGCAGCTAATCTACTGTAGGCGGCAGTCGTCTGATAATCATGGGCGAACGAACTGAACAGACTGCGCAAACCGGTACCCGGTGTCTGTGGGACATTCGCTGCTCCATCAGTCAATAGCGTACCACACGCAGACAGGGACAGACATGCTTCACAGAAAGTGTAAGCACACTTCTCCCGAACCAGGACAGTAAAATAATTAGACAAACATCAATAATTCTGACAAACTACTTCAGTTAAATGATCGTTGTTGACTTACTGACAGTTCAAAGAGGAGCATATGCTGGAATCCAGTCCAGTACGTCGCATTCTGTTCTGAGACGACGCGCAACTCCCAGGTCATAGACATAATTGCCTCAGGACCGCCAGACAGTCAAAGAGTGAGGTATGTGAAACATGGGCTCATCACAAGTAGTTTGAAATCTGAGGTCTATACGCGTAATTCGGAGGTATATCATACGTAGATCGGAGGGTAAACCATGTCCCAGTAAAAACTGTCTGTTGCTCATTTTGAAAGCGTACGGACGATGACAATTGCACTGTGGAATAGACCTCTGAAATCCAATGAAGCATTTTGGTTCGCAGACGTTTGTACATGGTGTACCGCTTACAAATCAGGAGGGTTTAGTTGAAGTACATGCGGTGGGTGATACTTCCCGGTCGCACCGTCCGAAGAACGTGATTGTGGTTGAGGTACCTCACCTTGAACTTTGGCTTAAAAGTTTGACCCATTAGTGAAAGAGAAGGGTGTGGGATTTCGCTTGGGAATCCTTCTCCTAGCCCCTAACTCAATTCCGGATCGCAAGGCAGCAGCCGTTAGGGTTTTTTTTGAGGAACCCTTTCCTGAGCAAATGTCTCTAAAGTCTGAAGCACTTGACTGCAGGGAGACAGTTTGACTCAGAAGTGCGCATAGCAAGACAGACGTTTAACTCCTAATGCTATCACGAATAACCGATGCTTTTGGAGCCACACCAGCCCCCTGGAAAGAGATATTTGTCTCTCGACCGAGTTGGAAAACTCGCCCGCGGTCACAGTCAACCGTTGGACGATCGGAGTATACGGATTTTAGGACCAACGTTTTCTAACCTGTCTTTACTCAGAATAGGACAGCACCGCTGCTTTCATAAACAAGGAAACTGTGTTCGCCTGAGGAAAACACCTTAGTGTGGTGGCATTTCTTCGCATGGTAAACTCGTAAAATTTCCTGCTGCAACTGGGATCGCAGCTCTTCGTCAAACTACATTCGTAGCTTTCCTGCCGCGGTTGAACTGATTTCGAGCAGACGTAGTCCTACAAAGCATGGCACTATGGGAAGAAATATCTACAGGTCTCACAGTTCGACGGTACAACAGTTATGAACTAAAGGAAAATAAACGCCGATCGTGGTTTTACAAGATAAATTGTGATCATTCATAGGTGTGATTGTCACCACTTGGGCGAGATGGTTCATGGTTCGAACCCCACCTCCGCCTCTCGACATCTCCTGTCTAGGCTTGGGCGACCTGGCAGTATCCCAGCCCTCGTGCGACCTTTGGGTGGCGTGGTAGCTACAGTTACACGGTGCTACAGCTGAACGATGATTGTTACCCGGAGAGAATAAAACAGGAATGCCATTTCTGATTGGTGCCTGGAAGTATTTTTGTCGACGACATCGGTCACGGATATTACTACTCAAACAAGGGTGCTTTTGGTTGATCCACTCGGNGGTTCCCCCCCCCCCCACATACACACACTCTAGAAGGGAGAGGAAGTATACCGATGTTTGCAAGCGTGCAACATTGGCAAACATGTGATCTAATGGTCATTGAAAAAAATGTCACAGCACAAACAGAATATATTGACCGGGCAGATGTCTAGTCCAATGAAAAACACACTAAACCGAGATTGAGGGAAAATATTATTCAACTCATGATGGGGAAAATGCGGAGTGGTTGGGATAAATTAAAGCTTGTCACTCGGGATTAAGACGGCGACGAACGACCGCCAAATGCTCTCTTAAATAGGCTTCGTGTGGAGCCATCTGAATCGCCTGTAAGAGACATTCCTCACTAGCTTCGAGATCGTCCTGTTCAGCTAGAGCGACACACAGGTTGTGCTTTGCTTGGACGTTTGTAGGATCCAATTCCAAAGCTCGGCGAAACAACTGAATTAGGTTTAAAAGTAGAAATATAACGCCATTGGTCAGGGGACAAAGTAAACACGCTCATAACGGGAGCTGAATGAATAAGTTCTTCGTAATCTAATAAGGCAAACTAATACCTATTCTCCAGATCTCTGGAGACGAATAAATAAAAAGGACAAATAATGGCACGAATACGAATAGAAAACCAATTACCACAGTCCATAGAAGACCAAAACATCACTTACATGTGAGAGAACCAAAGGTGCTAGGTGCCAGATAAGAGGAGTAATGTGGGTGCAACTTAGAGGCCGAAGCAAGCCCACGATTTTGACGAA